TTCATTCCTTCCTTCCTTGCTGGATCCGGCTTAGCTCGCTTAGGCATCGCTTGACGCCCCTGCAGTGCCTCGGACTGTGGGGATATAGAGCTCGAGTACCGACAGTGGCAGAGTTTTCCTCACTAGCTACATAGCAAAATCGAATTCAGCCCGGCGGTTTTGCTCGGTAGTTTTCAGTGATTTCTCTGATCCATGCAAGGCGAATGCCGGATCAATTCCCTAACAAGCGAACCACGGACGGCGCCTGATTGTGCTCTGTCGTTCAACTACCACTCGACTTTGAGGAACTACACAATCACATTCATTGGGGAACCAGCCGGAAACTTTAGAAGTGGACCTTGGAATCCATTGAGAAGGTCGGACCGAATCTCACATTTATATCACAGAATATATTTGCCTTTTTGGATATAACATGGACTACCCGAGGCTAATGACCTTAGTAGCTCATGCGCCTGGAGTCAATAAATACTCACTCTCTCAACCAGAGTGGGTTTAATTTTGTCGGAAAAGTGTACGTGACCGACCGATTGACAGATGATTCCGGGCCCGTTACCTGATGAAAGCATTAGTCTCGTAAATGTAGTGCATTATTTTTGCTCGTGAGGTACCGGTGAACTTCTCCCGCTTGATGGTGACGCGTTTTCCTCTACCAATTATAGGGATAATTAGAAGGAATGGGAAGGACAGATCGCGCGCGGTCCGTGGACCGTTTGTTAGGGTACTGCTCCAGCATTCGCCTGGTGTTGATCGGAGAAATCGCGGAAAACTACCTGTTCGCTACAACTCTCCTCCAGACAGCGCATGAAGTAGTCCTAGTCCTAGTCCTAGTTATGTAGCTAGTGATTAAAATCCTGATGCCGTCGTGAGTGGAGCTCCCGATCAGAAGCATTGCAGCGACATCAGTTGATACCCTGAGCTACCTCTTCCAAGGTATGTAACCGATATGTTTAAACTATGAAGATGCACAAGTGCTATTAAGAAAATCATGTGCCGTGTAAATATGAGTCAAATCTTTAGCAACGGGATAAAAACACTCTTTACTGCGTCATTTTGGTACTTCCTCTAGAGCTACGCTGGAGTAGGTGTCAGAGAATGTCTAAATCAAAGCAATTTCCTATCGCGAATAAATTGCTCTTTTATAGAGGAAAAACCGCAACGAAAGTTTATCATTATGAGGACCGTTATCAAATGATGAACACGTAGTTTGGTATTCATATTGCTACGTCTTAACATAGACACACGAATATTAATTTCCAGAACGAAAATAATTAAAATTCGATTAACAGCCATAACATGACGCTCGACCACACCTCGTTGACTCATCACCTCTCTGCTATGACTACACCTCGACCGACAAGTGGTTACGTCGAAGTCGAATATTAGCACTAACGAGAGAACTAAGAGAACCATTGGTGTGGTCACTGTTCTTCTGTGCTCCTAGTTGCTTTTTAAAAGTATCGTCCAGTAACATCATATGCTATTGGTAGACTGAATGTGTTGAAAAACTCTTTAGCTAATTACTCTAATTAACCAACTGCTCGAGTAAAGCTTTATTTAAACATTACCGTAACTAAACAGAAAATATTCGTATAAAATAGGAAACTGGCTGAAATTAGTGATGAAGCGTATGAAAGAACAAAACAACGTATGCTTTACGAACAGAAAATGCCCAACTACTGTATTAATTAGCTCAGCTTTGCTGTCTTCTCTTCTCACTCAACCTCTTCGTTCCTCAAGACGGCTTTTATTAGCGTTACTTACTCCCTTAAGCATTCGTTGAATAAGCGAATTTTTCAGATTAGACTGAAACAATTATTTTGGGAATTTATGTGCTTTTCTACCACATCTTACATACATCGCGTCCTTCCCACAAATGCTAGCATTTTCGCCGTCATGCTGCGACATTCCTCAAGGCGAAATACACATTTTGCCAGGAGAAAGTTCTCAACACGGCGACGAAACATTGTGACCAGTGCCAAGTTCGCGGAGTCCCCTGGTCATGTGTGGGCAGTCGGGTGGATACTAACGTTATAGTTAGCCATCACCACTGCACTCACTTCAAAATACATAGTATAATGAACTCTTTTTAAAACGACCTCACAGAAGAACAGGAAAAAAGCAATAATTGTAAATACAGAATGAATTTTTGCAAATTGAAAAGTTAACAACGCATTTGAAGGATTTGAAATGGAAAATGGCGGGTTTGAAATAAAGAATGGCGGGTTTGAAATAGAGAATGGCGGGTTT